CGCACGCCGCGGGTCCGCCGTCAGCCCATCGCCCGCTCGCGCCTCTCACGCCGAGCCTGGCCGCGAGCCAGAGCGCACCGCCGCCGGCCCGTCCCCCGCCCCCCGCCCGCGCCCGGCCCGCCGCATGCTGCGGGGCGCCCTGCCCGCCTCCCCGCCCCGCCCCCCTCGCACCCCCTGCGCGCTGCCCCCGGCGCGGCTGGAGAGGGCAGGGGGAGGCCGGGCGGCTGCGGGGTGGTGCGGAAGGCGGGCTCCGGCGGGTCCCGCGCCCGCGCCCGGACAACAATGAGCGCCCGCGCCCCGCGGACGCAGCGCCGCGGCCCGTTCCACGCCGCGGGAGCCGGGGGCGGCCCGAGCTGGCCAAGCCTCGCGTTCCCTCGCCGCTGCACGCGCAGCCAGGACGAAGTTAGGTCCCGATGCGCCTGCTAACCCGGAGAGGCTGTGCGGAGTCAGGCGTGCGAGAGGAACAGCAGGGATTCTGAAACGGAGGCTCGCACCCCACCCCCCAAGCCCCACCAAATCCACCGCGGGAGGCCCTCTCCTACCCTGTGGGCCGCCCAGAGAGGCCACCTGGGCCGAACTGGCCTGAAGATGCAGCTCTTAGCCCTCGACGTCGTCCAATTGTTTTGAGTCTTTATCTCCCTCAACTCTTTGGAAATGGAAGTTCCTGCGAGATAACCTAGTCTTGGGGCTATTGTCAAGGATTCGCAACAACTACGGGGAAAGGAGACTTCCATTTCAAGAGACCCGGGGGAGGGAAACAGGCTGACACTTTCTCTTTCCAAAAAAGAGAAACAAACTCAGAGAATATCCCTACCAAGAACAATAACTCAATTCACATTATGTGTCTAAATGTTTATTGCTTCAGCAGCTCAATTTGCCCTAGACAGACTTTTTTTTTTTTTTTTTTTCACGAATTGTCAAAACATGGCTTGCTAAAATAAAGAGAGAAGCAGACAGGAGCACCCGCTTATTGTGGGTGGGAAAGCCGGCTTGTCTCAGAGGTAAAATCTTTCTTTAAAACTCACTCATCGCTTGAAATCCCAGCATCTCTCCATCGATCCATCTATCCATCCATCCTTCAAGGGAGAGATGGCTTCCCCTTTCACCATAGTTGAAGGATCTGTGAGATGTAGCGCAATTATTTCCCTGACACTGGCAGGAGTGAAGACTTAAAAAATTCATAATAAAAAAGAAACATTGTATATTCTTTCTTCCCAATGGTTGAAGATTAACTCCAGACACATTTCGTGTATTCTTCTCTAAAGATCTCCGGTGAAAATTTCTGGCAGTTCAGGAGGTCTTGTCACAGTCAACAGAAGGGAATCTGTATACATTATAGCCTTGGAGAAAAAGGTGAACGAATCCCCATCTGTGATAAGGATGATATATCTTATTTCAACCTGTTGTCATCACAGACTCGTGACTGAGGGACTTGACTTGATTATCTGAATCTGGGTCATGGGAAGCTGTGTTTAAATGGGAGGTTTCTGTACCTTGGGAGTCGCTGAAGGCCGTTTTCATGCAAAGCCCCATTCTTTCATGATATAGTTGGGGGAGCACTCAGAGGGAGCGCTATTTCTTTGGAAGAGCATTTCCAGTGCTGATCTGTTTTGACTGCACCAGCTAGTAAAGGGGTGATAGTGTTCAGACCTTTCTCTTGGGGTATTTAGTTCCCATCCTTCAAAGAGTCATTGGATTGCTTCTACATCTACCTGCTGCTTTTCCACCTGGGCCGATGGAATTGTTAATTTGTCCCGAACTGAACTTGTCCCATCCGCAAATTCTCTTTCCCGATTCCCCATCTTCCTGCACAGCTTCCCCCCCCCCCCACCAAATGCCAGAAACAGGGATAGAAGGGTCTTTTATCTCCTTCCTTTCTCTCATCCCTTACACTCAGGTTATCATCAAGCCTGTCCTCATAAATGGCTCTGGAAAGTTCCTTGAGAGCAGCCCCTTGTCTGACTTGGTCCAACAGTGCCCTGGTAATGTTAGTCTTTGCCCCGGGCCTCGTGAGTCCCTCTCACCTTTCACGGGGAGGTCTCCGGCAGCCTCCTTACTGGACTGCAGTCTTGTCCCTCCAATACATTGCCCACACCAGCTCCACTCATTCTCCTAGAACTCAGATCGGATCACAGGACTCCTTTGCTTCCACCTGCTCAGGGCTTCTCTGGCTCTTAGGACTAAAGGCCACACTTCTTCAGATGGCCGGAATGTCCTGAGCACCAGGCGCTCCTGCTCCATCCAGCCTTATCTCTTGCCACCCGACCCCACCATGGTCCAGGTCACCCTCTACCCTCAGCTACATAACCCCCTTCCAAGACCCCTCTGTTCCACTTCTCACCCATCCCCTTGTCACCTAGCAGCCAGTGACTTCAGAAACAACTCACATCGTGTCATAATCTCTGTGACTAAGCATGTCAGCGGCTTCCCATTGCTCTTGAAAGCATCTTCTCCGTGCCCATCCCATGTTCCTCTCCCTGTCCCCCCGCTATGCTTTGCCCCATGGGCCACATTTCTGCCCTTGAGAGACTCTTTCCTCGGTTGGCTTTTTGTTTGCATTTCTTTTTCCTCCTGCCAGGAATACTCATCCACCCTCCTGGCTCCTTGTCATCCTTCAGGATTCAGCTCAACACTGCTGCCTCCTCCATAACCTTTCCTGATCAACACAATGAGAGTAACCCCCCAGCCTTGCCCCACAGGTAGTCTTTGTGTCATTATCCCGTTTATTTCCTTGTTAACAGTTAACCACAATCTCTATTCGTAGCCGTGTGCTAACGACTGCCTGGGCTTGAATCTTGCTTTGGCCGCCGGCGAGCTGTGTAGCCTTAGACAAGTTTCTTAACCTCTCTGTCTCAGGTTTCTCATCTAGGAAGTGAGGATAATAAGGTTGTTATGAAGATGAAATGAATCAATGTATGTAAAACATTTAGGACAGGGCCTCACTGTATAAGCATAAGCCCCGTGAGGCTGTCCTCATGGCCTGGGCTAGTCCTGACACAGGATCTCTGTACCCCCTATACCTTATATGTTTGGGGCCCAGACGAAGAATGGATAAAAATTTAGGGAAGAAAAATTTTATCTGAAGAATTTAAGTACCAAGAGACATAGGCCATGGTAAAACTTGATGAATGAGATAAAATTCAAACTTAAATTATCTGGAAGTTAATGGACATATGAAGGAAATATATCCTCTGTTTCACCAGTGGCGATCCTGGGAGTTGATGGATGGCAAGCTTTGCCAGTTGGAATTCTGTAATGGTTTGTTTTCCGAAGAGCAGCTGATTCCGCCACCAAGAATTCAGGCAGTTACTTGCAAAGGCACAGAGAATCAAAGGATCTTTGCAAAGTGTTGGTCCATCAGCCAGTCCTAACATGCAGTCTTGATGAAAGAATACAGTGTTTCCATTTTCAGCCTGAGTTTAATACTTTTTGAAGAGTCTTAGCTCGGAAAAAAGAAAAAGAAACGCGGCAGGCTGGTTTCTGGACATTTGCCTTTGTGTTTCCTTCAGCTGCTGGAGAAGATTCAGAAAGAAGGAGAAATACTTTTCCTTTTGCCCTTCCACAGGGCAAACAGGATTTTGAAACTTGAATGTCTGGGGTTCCCCTTGCCTCTTACACAGAGTTGGGGAGCTTTATTTTGAAAAGAGCTGAACTCTCAAAGGGCGGAGAGGTGCTCTGAGGCTTGGAAATGGGGGATGGAGACAGATAGCAGCACCCCCAGAAGGAAAGGAGTGGCATCTGCAATTAGAGAGGCCCATACTTGGTCTCTGCCTCAAGAAGGCGCCAGACATCTGACGGGGCAACTTGTGGACACTGGGTGGGGGTACTAAGTTCTAAGAGATGTATCTTTGGCACAGCAAAGGATCTTGGGGTTTGGCCTCTGAGGGATGGAGTCTTTGACTTTCAAATGGACCTCGAGTTCTTGGGTGCTGAGCATCTCAGTGGTGACTAGGCTGGACTGATAAACAAGAGACCACTTTCTGGTCTTAAGGTACAGTGTGAGCTGGGGGAGAGGAAAGAATGAGTACATTCCTACAACCTTCGTGAGTGAGGATGTAGTTAGATTTCACTGGGTGTAGAGAAGTAAATTAGCATGATGTTTGTTATGCCCAGAGTTGCAGAGCAAAAATTATCCCTGCTATACGAGTGAGAAAAGTACTAGGTTCTTAATTCCGGGATCTGAAGTCACAGCTTTCCTAAACAAGTTCTGGGTGGTAAAGGGGCCATTAGCAGAAGGTTCCTCAGCTCAGATCTTGGCCAGGCTACCACGCCTGGCGAAGAAAGATGGCCCCCACTCCTGCCTTTGTGTAGCTGCCTCCCTGAGGACAGATGCCAGTGTGGGAGTGGGTCTGAGTCTGTGCTTCATAATCCTTTCTAGTAACTTCAGATAGCCCTGGACTCCCACCTGGAAGGTCCAGTGTGACCTTGAAGGAGTCTCTTAACTCTTTGGTGCCCATTTCTTCACCTTTAAAATAACAGACCTGATGATAATATCTATTATCTTCAGCCCTAAGAAGACTATGGGTTCAACACATACTAAGGATTTTCACAACCATACAACTGATATCTAACATTATTAGGAATATGTACTCTGTACCAGGCACAGTGCTAACTGTCAAAACATTCATTAATTTCATCATCCCAAGATTCCTGAGATGGAAACTATTTTTGTTTCCCTTCTACAGATGGGGCGCTTGGGGGTTTAAAGAGGTTAAGTAACTTGCTGAGGCCACTATGTTAATTCGACTTGAACCCAAAGTCATCCTTTTGTGACTTAGAGCCCTCATCTTTCACGCTTGACTCATATATATATATATATATATATATATACACACACACATATATAGGCAATCACAGTGAACAAGGGGAGGTGACCGTAACTTGTCCCAATACATTAGTTCCTAACTATGGGACACTGGCGTCTTTTCCTTCCATACTCCAACCAGATTTTGAGGACAGGGCGAGACCCCTCTGCAGCAGGTTGAAGTGCTTGATGGATTTTAAGTGAACCCCATTATATTTTTATACCCAATCCTTTTTTCTCCTCACTCCCAGATCAATTCAAGGCCAATTCTGAACCACTTCAATCAAAAAGAAAGAATTCCATCTCCTCTCATGGCTTGACAGCAAGTACTTAAAACCATGTTCCCTGGGGTCCATGAAGAAATCATGTAATAACTGTGTTTTATTTCATTATTTTTTTATATAGCAATATCATTTTTTTAATAGCTTATGCTTTATAATCTTGTTATGTTCTCGTTACATTAGATTATTGCTTATTATTTTTTCCTGGTTGGGATCATGGTTTTGACTGCCTCAACTCATAGCAACAAAAACCCAGGGCAAGGCTTTCTGAAACACAGACAAGAATCAATCAAAACATCACAAGCTAATTAATGTAATTTGGAGCCCCCGGGAGCAGCTGTATTACAGTGAGTACCACAGTATGAAACTGGTGTACATTAGAAGCATGCTCAAATACGCAGGTTAGCTCTCTCACCAAACCCTTTCTGTTTATTTACACCCAGAAATAGGCATTAATAACCATAGTCAACACTCAGTTGGCACTTACCAAGCACCCGAACTGATTATGTGCTTTACATAGAACTCATTTAATCTTCTCACAAGCCCTGTGAGGTTGGTACTATTATTAACCCCATTTCGGAAAAAGGGAATTAAGGCACAGAGAGGCTGTATTTATTTATTTAAGATTTTACGTATCTGAGAGAGAGAGGGGAGAGCATGAGCAGGTGGAGAGGTGGGGAGTTGGGGGGAGAATGTTCCCCACTGAGTGCAAAGCCCAAAGACTTCGAGCTCGATCCCAGGACCCTAGATCATGACCTGAGCCAAAATCAGACATTTAATTAACTGAGCCACCCAGGCGCCTTGGCCCAGAGAGGTTTTATAACCCACCTCAGGTCCTATACCTGATAAGTCGGCAAGAGCCAATTAGCAAACTCTGGGCACCTGGCTTCAGAGTTGGTCTTAGCAACATTCACTCATACCTGCCAAATTCAGGGTTATGTAGAGGCTTGCATTCCTTACAGTGCCTAGCACAGTGTTTGTCAGCTGAAACTCAATACCTGTTATTTGTTTGTCAGCCCACTGCCTCCTTACCAAAGGGAGTTAGGACAGAAATATTTGTGAGATTGAATGGGAAAAAAATTCAGCAAGTATTCTGTTTTCAGTTGTAACTTTTAATAGTGTGGGAGCTTATGCGCAGGTGACATCAATCAATCAATCTCGCAGGCAAGCAGTAAGAAGATATTGAAATGATGAGTCGGTGTGGGAGGAAGAGCCCCCAGGATTTATGAGAACACAGACCCTGGAGCCCCAGGGAGAAAAAGGCAAGTCAGTTTCTTGGAGTTGAGACGGGGCTGGAAGCTGTCATGCTTGTGAAATGATGATTTCTTCAAAATCAAATCCCCCAAAACCAAATCCGACCTACCCCAAATTATTATGGCAAAGAATGGTCATAATACACATTATACATTTGGTGAGTTCAGTGTAGCAAATTTCTAGAGTTCTCACTCACCAAATAGGAAGCTGGTTTGGCTATTTGTTGAGATGGGGATTAGATATACACAATTAGAACTCATAAAGAGGGGCACCTGGGTGGCGCAATCAGCCAAACGTCCAACTTTTGGTTTTGGCTCAGGTCCTGATCTCAGGGTTGTGAGATCGAGCACTGCATCAGGCTCTGAGCTCAGCACAGAGTCTGCTGGAGATTCTGTCCCCCGCTCTCTCTACCCCTCCTGCTGGT